AGCTATGAAGCTATTACAATAAATATGCACTCCTAATGAGAGTGTGGATTAGCATAACTGAACTGGGAAGCTGTCTATCATCATCTATTAAAATTGGGTACACACATGCCTCTTGCTCAGCAGGCTCATTCATAGGGATATATTTCACATCAAAGACATATCAAAATACGCTCTGAGTAGCAATATTTCTTTTTTTTCTTTTTCTTTTTCTGTTTTTTTTTTTTTTTTTTTTTTTTTGGTTTTTCGAGACAGGGTTTCTCTGTAGCTTTGGAGCCTGTTCTGGAACTAGCTCTTGTAGACCAGGCTGGTCTCGAACTCAGAGATCCGCCTGCCTCTGCCTCCCGAGTGCTAGGATTAAAGGCGTGCGCCACCACTGCCCGGCTAGAGTAGCATTATTTCAACAACCAAAAAGGAGGAACAACTCAAATGTCTAGCAATAGTAGAGAAGATAAGAAAATTGTGGCACACGCTTTTTATGGACAATTTGTAGCAATAAAGGTAAACAGACAACAGTTATCCTCTACACACAGATAACACACTACACACACACACACACACACGAGACAATGGACACTTCCATTTTTATAAAATTCAACTCAGGCAAAACTAACCTCTGATGTTGAAAGGAGGGGTAAGCCACCACTAAGGGAACAAAGTGGGGAAGGCTCCGCATATACTTATTGTGGTTTCATGCATGTGTTTGTAATTCCACCCACAAAAGTCAAGAGATTTTAGTTGTGTAGATACAAAATCAAGATAACTGAAGAGAAGAAAGAGCCTAAAGATGGAGAAAGCACAACAGAAAGACCTGGCTCAACCTTCTTATATACAAGTCTCAAAAATCCAGGTGCACTAACGGGGGTTAGATGTCTGATAATCCAGACAAAGCGTAGTCCTAGAGTGCACTTCCCACCCTCTCTGCTCTGCCTAGAAAGGTGATTCTATGTTGCATCTATGTCCCACAAAGGGAAACTAAATGACAATGGGTGGTGTTCTTTGCTACAAAGCCTAAGTCACTTACTATCTAGTGTTCTGTAAGAAGACAATCACTGTATGATTTCTCTTCTGTTTTATTTTATTTGTATGGGTGTTTGCCTGAATGTCTGGATATGCGCCACATGTGCTCCTAGTGCCCACAGAGGCCAGAAGAGAGGGCCGGATCCCTTGGAACTGGAGTTACATGTGGTTGGGAGCTGTCCTGTGGGTGCTGGGAAACCAGATCCTCCAGAGGACCAGTCAGTGCTCTTATGTGCTGAGCCCTCTCTCCAGCTCCGGGAATTTTTATAAAAGGTGGGAAACAGCTGGGGAGGTGGTGGATCATTCAGTAAAGTGTTTGCTGAGTAAGCCTAAGGAGTTGAGTCTGGATCCCCAGCATGTAAAAGGTCAGGCTTGGCTGCATGAGTCTGTGACCCTGGCACTGAGAGGTAGAAAGAGAGAGATGACAGGATTGCTGCCAGTCAATCTACCAGTGGCATCCAGGTTCCATGAAAAAACTCATTTTAGACAATAAAGAGGAGAGAAGAGGACATCTGACATTAATCGTTGACCTCCATACCTGCAAACCCCGGCACTCACATGCACACCACACATGTGCACTAAAAGTAAACACAGGTTAGGGAACCTCTACCTGGTAAGTGCAGTGCTTAGTCGTCAAAGAACTTCTCTTTTCAACAGTCTGATCACAGAATTTGTCAAAGTACAGAGAACAACCAATCGTGAGGTGTCTGGCCTCAACCAATACATCTATATCATAACTCCTGCACATAATGCTCAAGGAATGTCTCAGAAAAGGGAGATGTAAGCTTGTAAGAGCAAGAGGACCCAACATCTGCCGTCAGATTGTGTCTCTAGAAATGTCAGGGAAGCTACAGCTCAACAATATAGCTGTCCAAACAAGACAGGAATAATAATACCAGTAGACTGGCGTGGAAGGGGAAGGGTCAAAATTCAAAGCTCCGAGAGCAGCATCCAGCAGGCAGCTGCTGCCAAAAGCACAGCAGTACAGAGACCTCAGTGATGACTTCTCCCATCACTTTCACCTCCCTCCTGGTCAGTGAGGATGCTGCCTGGTTATACGTGGCACCTGGGACTCAGCAGTGAACAAAGGGAAGCCAGACACATGACTACAAGGACAGACTGGTGAGTGGTGTCCCCAGTCAACTACCTCTCCATCAGTCCACAAGAGCAAGAAAGCATTGCTCTGATCTTAGCATGCAGATGCTGGACCAGTTTTACAGTATGTGTTGGTTGGTCCTTGCCAGAGGCTTTGGCTATCCCATAAGTGGACACGACTGTCAGCATTTTGGATCATGGGATGCTCTGACCGGTGAGTCTCGGGAACACCTTTGCTGTTGGAAAACGACCCCAATTCCTTCACTGGCATAGCCAGTCTTCCACGGGCCTGCTCATTCCACTGTCTATCTGCTGTAGTAATAAGGGCAGCGGGGCTGCGTCCCCAGCACCCCAGCCGCCTGCTCGGCTAGCTTATGCCCCGAAATAACGACACACAAACTGTATTCATTTAAACACTTCTTGGCCCATTCTCTTCTAGGCTAATTCTCACATATTAATTTAGCCCATTTCTAATCATCTGTGTGTAGCACCCCAAGGTGCGCTTACCGGGAAGATTCTAGCCTATGTCCATCCTGGGTCAGAGCTTCATCCCGGGAGCGGGGCATGGCGTCTCTCTCAGGTGTCTGCTCCCGAGAGAAGAGCTGTTGAGACTCTGAGCTCACTTCCTCTTCCTCCCAGCGTTCTGTTCTGTTTACTCCTCCCACCTATCCTCTAACCAATAAAATGGGCCAGGGCAGTTCCTTTATTAGCCAATGACCTTCCTCCATCAATCTGCATTGTAATTTTCCAGTTCCTAAACACCAGCAGGCTGTCTGTTGTGTCCACCTCACAAGGCCCGAAGTTCCTTCTACCTTAAACTCTCAGTCTATTCGCTCATGGTTTCCTCATGTCTAGTTAGGTGCTTGTCACTGCCTCAGGTACCAGCAAGAGCTTCACTCCTGTGAACCGCCCTTAAGAAACCTCTCTCCCAGACTCGTCTATGACCAGGATGAGCTAGGATCCTGCCCATGATTCCCACAGATCTCTTCGCTCTACCTGAGTGCTAATAGCCCTAGAAGGCAATCAGTTTCTAGATATTTCCCCCACAACTAGTGTGGAAACTCTAAGATGCCAATGACTATAAGCTGTTTTGTTTTCGTTATTGGTACACAGAGAAATTCCTGGTCAACAGCAAACACCCCATAAATATTGCTGAATAAAATGAATTTCCATATCTAGATACCCCACAAATATTTGCTGAATAAAATGAACTTCTGTATCTAGGTTGTATTCAATTTAATGAGGTCTGCTTTTGTGTTGGTTCCCATATCAACAACAAAAATACAGTGCCTGAGACACAGTTATCTCATCAATATTTATCATACAAGTAACTCTCACTGGTATTAGTCACCCATTTAAACACCAGAGGGCTTTGACGCTTATATCAGGAACCCTACACAAAAGGGTCAGTGTCAAGTATTTCAGCCATTTCACTTTTTACTCTATTGAGTTACTCTATTTACTCTATTTGCCAGTTTTTCACATTCAAATTGTTCGTCTAGCAACAATGAAGCACTCTCTACCATCAACAATGCAAAATACCAACAAAGAGACTTTCAACTTCAGAGAATTCTGTCTACTTCCCTTCATTAACATTGCTGCTACTTGTTATCCTAGTGTATAGCACTTGGGATCCGCCTTTCACGGTGTAAAGCATATGTATGATACTGTTGAGGGAAGATGGGTGTGGACATCAGAAACTCCATCAGCCACTGGGATTTTCTTATACTTTATGATATATAAGCAGCAACCTCAAACCTTGTGTCAGTCAGTCTTTCTTCCTGTCTTTTTCTTTTCTTTTTTGCAAGTTTTTTGGTAAATACCATTACTATATATTTAAAGAAGAATTTCATATAGCTCAGGCTGGCTTTTAAAAAATTGACTAAGTGGCTCAGGCTGGCCTTGAGCTCCAGAGATTTTCACTTCTGACTGCAGGATGCTAAGGCATAGGAGTGGGTCACCATGTCTGACTATGTCATCCCATTTAACGTTACTGTTTCATTGTCATAAGGAAACTCTTCCAGTAACACTGGAAATGTGCCCAACACTCTTGCAAGAACAGAATCAGGCATCTGGGGCTTCTGCTAAATGATAGCAAATCTGCAGGCAAGCTCCCGTCACTTCTGGTTTTGATGTAATTAATCTTAGCAGTGGGCAAGATGCAGGCCCTTTGGACAGCAACTGGGATAGGCCTTAGGCAATCTGCTAGGATGTCATAAATATTTTAATTGGCATGATTAAGGGTTTGTTTTTGTTTTTGTTTTTGTTTTTTTTTGCTTGTTTATCTACGGGTTTTTTGTTTTGTTTTGGTTTTGGTTTTGTTTTGGTTTTTTTTTTGTTGTTTTTTTTTTATTTTCGAGACAGGGTTTCGCTGTAGCTTTTGGTTCCTGTCCTGGAACTAACTCTTGTAGACCAGGCTGGCCTCGAACTCACAGAGATTCGCCTACTTCTGCCTCCCGAGTGCTGGGATTAAAGGCGTGTGCCACCACCGCACGGCCTGGTTGTTTTGTTTTGAAACATTTTTTCCTGTAGCTCATGATGACTTCAAACCTGGTATGTAGTCAAGACTGACTTTGAACTTCTGATCCTCCTTCCTCCACCTCCCAGGGCTGGGATTACCATATGCTTGCACCACCATACTCAGCTCGGAGTATCTAGAGATGGGATCTTGCGTCGCATGGTCCCCAAATTCCCAGGTTTGACTGATGTTGCTGCCTCGGCCTCCTCAAGAGCCTGGGCTACCGCACCAGGCTAATCGGCTTCTCATTAAACTCCGTGTCAGAAAGGACTCATGACCATGTCTAACATGTATGGTCTTTTTAACATAGGGCAAGGCACAGGTGGCCCGGGAGAGATGAGCACAGGCCACCACGGAGCGCTCTTCTTACCTGTGTACTGCAGCCCCCTGTACTCGCTTATTGCCCCAGGAGGCTTTAGGTTGGGCCAGTAGTGGAAAAGCATCTGCACCGCTGGGGGTTTCACCTGTGAAGGCCCGTATGCAATCACATACAAAAGGTCCTGCAGGAGGGAGGAGCACATTCTGAGTCAGCAGCAGCAAAGGAAAAGAGAGGCCGTGCACCCAGTACCACCCAGGCAGCAGACATTCTAAGGGGGAGCTTAGGGGAGCCGTTTCTCCGGGCCTCGTCATTCAGGTGGACTTCATGGATTAAATTATGTCAGCACATCATCGTCATCATTTATTCAAGTGTCTGTTTGTATGTCCTGCAAACGATGCCCCCAAGGCGAGTTCAAAAGTTCACTGCCCATTAATTCCCTAATGAGATTCAAATCCAAGAAAGATTTTTACAGCAGCGTATGCCCACATACCAAGCACTGAGTTTAAAAACAAATGTTTCCCTAATCACATTTCTTAACAATTCATATCTGCTATTTGAAAAAAAAGACAAATTCTAACACAATTTCAAATTAAAATCCCACTTATCACGCAATATAATATTTGCCTAATTCAATGACTAAGATACATTCAACTATTCTGTCAGGACACTCTGTTCTTAAAGTTTCAGTTCTGTTCTGAGTGATAATTTTACCAGCAAAAAAAAAAATAATAAAGTACATGTTTATCACATCAAAATAATAAGACATGTATAAATTTGATCAAAATAAATTATAATAAGCAATTGTTACAATTTCTATAAATCCAGTTAGTGAATATGAGTCAGCTTGAGCCAAACTTACTTTCCAGACTTCTTGCTTATATTTCATGAGGCATTCCAGTAATTGACAATGATACACTGTAAGGAAAAAAATATCATTTATAGTGAGATGTAAATACCAAAAAATTATACTTGGCGATATAAAAAAATCACTTCAGTATTTGTTTTCATTTTAATCATTAAATTAGAAAGTTTTTATCACACTTTTAGAAACCATAGCAGCACTTAGCTTTATCGGGCTTTATTCCAAAGCCATTCAAAAGTATTTTGCAAATCACACTAACAAAGGAAATACTAGAATGCTTTTAAACAATTATACTTATGTAACATAAACTGGACTGCTGCAGCCAAGAAGAGCGTGGGAGGGGAAAGCCTCTCCAAATGAGGTCATATACAAGCTCGCAGTTTTGCGTGAGCTCGTTCTTTGCCGATGTTGGCCTGAGCGCTCCACCCATGTTACCTCCCAAACACCAGGCTGCAGTTAGGAAACTGGGGCTGACTTTCCTATCCTGCCTGAGGTTGAAGAGATACCAAGCGACACTTGAATTGGATGAAAACAGCAATTTCACCACGTGGCCAGCAATCCTATCCTCTCATCATAGAGACAAAAGTATAGCTCAGAAGCACCCAGCAGAATCTGCTGGGTAGAGCTAAGTCCCAGTTAGAGGAGATTTGTATTTTGGTTTTTCATTTGTTTTGAGTAAAATGTTTTCATTAATCCTTTGAGAATTTCATAGAATCTATTTTGATCACCCCTACTTTCCTCCTAAATCCACCCAGATCCACGCCTCACTTCCAACTTCATAGCCTCTCTTTCTTTCAGAATAGTCCCGCAAGTCCATCTTTGCTGTCTATGTACTCATGGGTGTGGGGCGATCCAGGAAAGCATGATCAACCTATCAGGGGCCACACCCTTAAAGAAAGCTGACTCTTCCTTACTAGAAGCCATCAGTGGTCAACTGCTCCTCATCCATGTGCTCCTCACCCCTCCATTCTCATTCTCTCTCTCTCTCTCTCTCTCTCTCTCTCTCTCTCTCCTCTCTCTCTCTCTCTCTCTCTCTCTCTCTCTCTCTCTCTCTCTCTATCTCTCTTGTGTGTGTAAACCAAGTATATGTGAGATACCCACAGAAGCCAGACAAGGAGGTCAGAGACTCTGGAACTGGAGGCATTTGTGATCCATCATTTGGGCACTGAGAAAACCAAACCTGGGTCCTCTGCAAAAGCAGCAGATGTCTTAACTACTGATCTATCTCCCCAGCACAGCTGGCTTGAGCTTCTATGAGTGCAGTCGTTCTGGCATGTCCAGAAGACAGTTTCAATCCAGTCCTCCCTGACCTATTACACTCCTTCCTGTCCCTCCTCCATGGTGGGCCCTGAGCCTTGGGAGGGAAGAGATACAGATGTTCCTCTTGTGGCTGAGCTTTCCACTGATGCTTGTTCTCTGCTCTTTGACCAGTTGTAAGCATCTACATTACCCACAATCCACTCCACAAAGAAAGAAAGAAAAATCTGATGTCTAAGAGCTGCTCTGACCTATAGGTATAGAAATACAAATTTAGAACTGGAGAGATGACTCAGAGGTTAAGAGCATTGAGTGTTCTTCCAGAGGACCTGAGTTCAATTCCCAGCAACCACATGGTGGCTCACAACCATCTGTGGTAAGATCTGATACCCTCTTCTGGCGTGCAAGCAAACATGCAAACAGAACATTGTACACACAATAAATAAAATAAATCTTAAAAAAGAAATATAAATTTATAAGGCAGTATGACATTATGTCCATGTAGCAAAATAATAGCAGTAAGTTCATGCCTGGGTCCTGGGAGTTCCTTAACCATTTATTATTAGCTGATTTGTAGGGCCGAGCAAGCATTTCCTCCTGTGTCCTGGGCCTTAAATTTAGTCTAAAAGCAGTGCATTACCTCACTAACATCTGTGCCGCTGCTGCAGCCATGGCCATGACTTGCCCACTACTGTAGTTCACTGGGTTTATAGCGGGGGAAGTGTTGATTATTTTAACCCCAGAAGCCTACAACAGCACCCTCTGGTTCTATAAAGACTAGCCATACAGGAAGCCTCATAGTCAGTATCAACTTGATTTCTCCATTTCCTGTCACCCAAGTATGTGGCGTCTTTGCAATAGGGTCTTCTACAGGGCACCAGTTAAAACTACACAGCAGTGCTCTTCTTTGATTTGCTTGTGTTCGCTTGCAAAGGACAACATTCATCCTGGATAGATTACGGTTTGGCTCTTTCTATAAACTACCTTCCAGCTCCATCCTAACATTGACATTTATGCACCGGTGACCACACTCAAACTCTGTGGACACGCTTCATCTGAATTTCCTTCAGAGGTATTTGGCACTTTTACTTTTTAAAACTCTCTCTTCTTGTGGCTTCATGACACCATGTGACCTTTTTCTTTCTGTCACCTGTGGTGGACACCACTGTTGTTCCATTGCTGACCAAAGTGGCCTTTCATCCTAGATAACGGCCAATACACAGCCTTTCTCAGCCTCTGCTGGAACTAGAAGTGGCGATGAAACATGTCTGATGGCAGCATCTGCTGGGGAGGTGCTAAGGTGTACTTTTTACTCTCTGACCTTTTCAAACTCTCCATGCCTTTCCTTCCTTTTTTGAGTCAGGGTCTCACACTATATAGCACAGGCTGGCCTAGAACTTGGGATCTCACGCTAAAGCTCAGGCTGTCCTGGAACTCACTGTGGAAGCCTACACTGGCCTCAACCACGTCTCTCCCTGCAGACATAGTCTCTAATGACTTGCACTGGCCTGCTTCAGACATGGCTTGTGAGGGTATAACCTCCACTGTGGTAGCCACTGTGCGGACACAAGGGGAGTCTTTGAGTAACAGGATGCTGCCTCAGCTCCTGGTATTATGGGTTATAGTTAAGACCTCCCATTAAGCAAAGCACAAGTGAGCTTCTAGTTTAAAGTACCCATCCCATGATGAGCTACACAAACAACCTCCACAACTCCTGGGCAAAGCCATCCTCCCCCAGTGACCTACTGTTTTCAGATTTCCTGAGGCCTGGTCATAGCTCCCATATATCCTTGATTCTACATTCTCCCCCTAAGCAATCTGACACCCACACTTCTGCCAGTGGTAGTAACCGCCTACATGCAGTTTGGTGAAGATCACTGGACATATATGTGGGTTCAAAGTTTAGCAGCACCAGTACAGAGCTCTATTCTGCGTGTAGGACCTACAACAACACCTAATTGCTGTAAGGAAGCCGTTTGTTCATCTCCCGGCTGCCCGGCAGCTCAGACCTGAAATAGTCACAGAGAAACTATATTATTTAGTTTAATCACTGCTTGGCCCATTAGCTCTAGCTTCTGATTGGCTAACTCTTATATCTTAATTTAACCCATTTCTCTTAATCTGTGTATCACCACGAAGTCGAGGCAAAGTTTCAGCGCATCTGTCTCTGGCAGCAGCTCCATGGCTTCTCCTTGACTCCACCTCCTTTCTCCCAGCATTCAGTTTAGTTTCCCCCACCTATCTACCCTATCAGGCCAAGCCAGTTTCTTTATTCATTAACCAATAAAAGCAACACTTAGACAGAAGGACCTCCCACACCATTTAATTATCATTTCCTCCCTGGTGTCTCAAAGGCACCTTGAAATAAAGCATGTCCCAAGCAAATCTCTCATTTTCCCTCCTGTGATGGCTCATCTCTACTGTCAACTTGGCTGACTTTATAATCGCCTGGGAGACACACCTCTGAGAATTCTGTAAGGACATTTCCGGAGAGGTTCAATGGAAGAGGCAGCATTACCCTGAATGCAGGAGGCATTGTTTCATGGCTAAAAGAAAATGAGCTGGGTACCAGTTTTCATCTCTCTCTGGTTCCTGATTGTAAATAAAATGTGATCATCTATCTCGTGATGACGAACTGATTCCTCCAACTGTGACCCGAAACAAACCCTTCCTTTCCTGAGTTGCTTTTGTCGGGGACTGTGTCCTGGCAGCAAGGACAGTAACTAACACACCCCAAAGCCTGACCTTCCTACAGTGCTTCCTTTGTCATTAACTGTCACTGCGCCCAGTCAGTGCAAGCCAGAAACCAAGTCCTGTACATGGTGCTTCCTAAAGAGCTCTCAATGGACACACTTCTAGCCTCAACTGCCCTTGCCTTTGCCATGCCTCAACAAATGCAGTGATTTCCCTATCAATCTACATCCAATAATCAATTTTGTACTGTAACCAAGTTTCTGTGCATATACACACACACACACCACACACACGCACGCACAGAGGATCTCCTGCCTAGCAGAGTCCACAATCCCTTGCAAGTTCTCCAGTCTCATGTCACACCAGGCAGGCAGCCCTCACCCACAGTCCCAGCCTCACCAGTCTGCCTATCTCACTAACCTGCCAGGCTACCTCTTGAGACACAAGGTTCCTCTGCCTGAACCCCTAGCCTCTCCCTTGACTCAGAACACTACTCATTTTTAAGTCCTCATAGTGAGGTTAAGTCCTCTCAGAGAGGCCTCCTTGCTAACCACAATAAATTTAAAGGTTCCCTTCATAGTCCGATGACAAGAAAAACTGACAGACACATCACAACTAAAACTGGATATTTTATTTCTAATTGTTTGATTCGTTGTTCTTTGTCCCCTCCAACTATACGAGCTTCACGAGGTGAAGGTATATCCATCCTGCCTGGCTAGCCAGGGTTTCCTGAATGATCGTTGAGTAGCCTTTGTCCTTCTGCCAACACTGAGTGCTCACAGGACACTTGGTCTTACACAGCGCCTGATCTTCTGCAGGGTGGATAACACAAACCCTGTTCAGAATATCCCACTGACCGTCCTGTGAACAGACCTCAAGAGTATCTCTGTTCAGTTTCCCTTCCAAAATGCACCACTTACTCTACCGAGCAGAACGTGGTCCATATTTTCTCTGCTCAAGAAGCACAAAGCCGTCCCTGATTATTTCAGTTCCCAGAGTTCTGTTCGTCTGATGAAATAATGGCCTATAGTATGTAACTGGTGCTTTGCACACACCACTCTGTGTGTGAAGGATGTCTCACTACGTAGCAGGTGCCCTCATA